TTTTTTTTTTTTTTTTTGTAGTGAATACAGAGCAACTTTGCTCTTTGGTTCGAAATTCCCTCAACATCTTTATGCCGGAGGTCGGACCAAACATCTCCATTCCAAGTTTATGAAGAATTCCTCTTCCAATCAACCCAGAAATTAACATGAAAATATGTCCATATAATGGGAACCCTGGACTTAGAGCTATGACACATGAGCCATGACGTTGTGTTTATATTGAGTCATTGGCGTATTGACTGACCTTAGGCCATCCTCAATGGTTGGAGCTTTAAAAGAGGTTTATAAAGCCTCATTTAGAGCTCTGATGGAATCTTTGGGGCTCTAAAGGCATCTCTCCCACAGTGAGAGGCTCTACATCCAGGGCTCTATATTAGAGGTTTGATATTTTTTTTTTATGATGTAATTTAATTAAGGTGCTATTTTTGTTTTTTGTTAACTTATTTATGTTAGTTTTTTGTTGTTGAACATTTCAACCCAAAAAATAAAAAATTGGACAAGATTTGAAAACATGGTTATAAAAAATAAACCTAGCCATTTAGAACTTGAGGGCCTGAGTCAACTTTACCAAAAAAAAACCAAAAAACAATGAGACAAGCTTGTTGCAATTGGCCAATTGATTAAAAAAATAGAAAAAGTAGTCAGCAACTATCAAAATGGGCGAGTATGACTCTGTTGAGTCGCAAGGCAAGTGAGCCAAAAAATTGTTGGGCTGGCAGCTTTTTCCAAATGTGGTCCCCACTGAGTTTCAAGGGCTGCAAGCGGGTACACAGATTTGGCTTCGGTTAGGCTCTACCGTTTAGAGCCTCAAATTTATACCATTGGGGATGGTTTTTTGAAAGAGTTGTTACTTATTAGAGCCCAAAGGTGGTGTGGCCCATTTTAGAGCCCCTATTGGGGATGGCCTTAGTGAAATAAAGAGCCACCGAAAAATCCAACTAGACAAATAGGGCAAGACTTGAAAGTCACACGAGTCCATACACAAAGCAATCTCACAATTCAATAAGTCTTTCTGTTCAATGACATATCAAAATATCTCATGCGACAAATTTTGCACTTGTGCTACAATTACTTATAACCCACGCTATTGTAAAAACCAACGAAAATCTGTTTTACCATCATCCCTGCCGTTCACAGCCTCTGCACTAAAGACCAGCAACTATCATTGCTCCATTTGAAGAAAAGCCTTCAATTTTCTCATGACCCTGATTCCGATTCATACCCAACCAAGGTTATATCTTGGAATTCAAGCACCGATTGTTGTTCTTGGCTTGGTGTTAATTGCAGTAGTGATGGGCATGTCGTTGGTCTTGACCTTAGCAGCGAAGCCATCAACGATGGCATTGACAATTCGAGCAGTCTCTTCGATCTTCAACACCTTCAAAACCTCAATTTGGCCGATAACTCTTTTACCTATGGCACTCGCATTCCATCTGCAATCGGAAAGCTTGTGAACTTGAGGTATCTAAATTTATCATATAATGGTTATTCCGGGCAAATTCCCATTGGGATTTCCCGCTTGACAAGGTTGGTTGTTCTTGATATGTCTGGGTCAGAAGACTCCAACATTACGTCCCCGAAGTTAAGTATGCTCTTTCATAACCTCACAGAGCTTGCAGAACTATATTTTGACCATGTACATTTGTCAGCAGAGGGGACTCACTGGTCCCAAGCGATATCAAATCTGACGAACCTGAGGGTGCTGAGCTTGCAGGACACTGGTATTTCCGGTCCTCTTGATCAATCCCTCACTCAGCTTCAGTCTCTCTCCATGATACGATTGGGTGATAACCAAATCTCCGGTCCAATTCCAGGATTCTCTGCCAATTTTTCAGAGTTGACTTCCTTGAGTCTCATCTCTTGTGGGTTGAAAGGAACATTTCCCAAAGAGATCTTTCAGGTACCTACTCTACAAACTATTGACCTTTCGGGTAATGAAGAACTTCATGGTTCCTTGCCGGAATTTCCAAACAATGGATCTCTTCGGTCCTTAGTTCTAAGAGAGACAAATTTTTCAGGGTTACTGCCTGACTCTATTGGAAACCTCAAAAAGCTGTCCTTCCTAGATCTTTCATCTTGCAGTTTCTATGGATCAATCCCAAAGTCAATAGCAAATCTAACACAATTGGTTGGTTTGCATTTGGGATTAAATACGTTCAGTGGTTCGATTGATTCTATTAGCTGGGAAAACCTTATTAATCTGGTAGACCTCCAGGTGGATGACAACCTACTTGAGGGGAGTATTCCATCGTCTCTCTTTTATCTTCCCTTATTGACACAACTAGTACTTTCCCGCAATCAATTCTCTGGTAAACTTCATGCATTTTCTAACACCTCTTCCGACTTAGAATATTTGCACCTTTCAGAAAACCAGATTCAAGGCAAGATACCCCATTGGATTTGGAGTTTCAATCATCTTTATTACCTAAATCTTTCTTGCAACTCTTTGGTAACTCTAGAAGCTCCTTTATATAATTCTAGTGTGTCAATAGTTGACATTCATTCAAACCAACTCCAGGGTCAAATCCCAACTTTCATACCATTTGGTTACTATCTGGATTACTCAAGCAACCATTTCAATTCTATACCATCTGACATTGGTTATTTTTTCACTTCCACAATGTTCTTCTCTCTTTCAAGCAATAACTTGCATGGGCTCATTCCGGCATCAATATGCAATTCGACAAGTTTTCTTATGAGTCTTGATCTGTCCAATAATTTTCTGAGTGGCATTATTCCCCCATGCTTGACTGCAATGCGCAGTCTCAGAGTACTTAATTTAGCAAGAAACAACCTCACTGGAACTGTTTCTAATTTTCAAGTTACTGAATATAGTTTATTAGAAATTCTAAAGCTCGATGGAAATCAGTTAGGTGGTCAGTTTCCGAAATCTCTAGGTAACTGCACACAGTTACAGGTTTTAAACTTGGGAAACAATCGTATAACAGATACCTTTCCATGCTTGTTAAAAAACATGTCCACCTTGCGTGTCCTTGTGTTGCGGTCCAACAACTTCTATGGAGGAATTGGATGTCCCAACACCTATGGCACCTGGCCAGTGCTTCAAATCATACACCTAGCTCACAACAATTTCACTGGTGAAATACCGGGAATATTTTTGACAACATGGCAGGTAATGATGGCTCCCGAGGATGGTCCCCTGTCGATTGTCAAATTCCAACTGGGTACAGTTATTGCCGGAAAACCAATGTCGATTGATTATTCTTTTAAGGATCGTATAACAGTTACCAGCAAAGGTTTAGAGATGGATCTAGTAAGGATTCTATCTATCTTCACCTTGATTGACTTCTCCTGCAACAACTTCAGTGGACCAATACCCAAGGAAATGGGAGAATTCAAATCACTACGTGTCCTTAACTTGTCCGGAAATTCTTTGACAGGTGAAATCCCATCCTCATTTGGTAACATGCAGGTACTCGAGTCCTTGGACCTGTCACAGAACAAGTTGGGCGGGCAAATTCCACCACAGTTGGCAAAGCTTACTTTCCTTTCGTTCTTGAATATATCATATAATCAATTGGTCGGCAAGATCCCAACCAGTACTCAGTTTTCAACATTTCCAAAAGACTCATTTACAGGAAACAAAGGACTATATGGGGGCCTCCTTTGACAGTGGATAACAAAGAAGGATTATCACCACCACCAACATTAAATGGAAGCCTTCCAAATTCTGGCCATCGTGGGATTAATTGGGATCTTATCAGTGTTGAAATTGGATTTACAGTTGGCTTTGGAGTTTCCGTTGGGTCACTTGTGTTGTGCAAGAGATGGAGTAAGTGGTATTACAGAGCTATGTACAGGATGGTTCTTAAGATATTCCCACAGCTGGAGGAAAGAATTGGAATTCATTGAAGACATGTTCACATAAATCGAAGGTTGATGTAGGACGAAATATGGTCAATTATGGCACTAAGAAAAGAAGGAAGGCGTATCGTTGGGATTTTCTAAATGATTGAAGAAGAATTGTGAAAACTTAAGAAAAGAATTTACATTACAAAGAAAAATAAATTACAACTAACAAGCAAAAGGAAAGCTAGAATTGAGAACTAGAAAGCAAAATTAAGAGAATTTGAGGGAGAGAAGGGAAGGGAGCTCTAGAGAAGTGTTTGAGAGCTCCCCCCCTTGGGGTGTGTTTACAAGCTTAGAGAACCTCCCTATTTATAGGCCTAAGGAAGTGAAAAATCTGAATTCAATATGGCTAATGCATACAACACTTGTTTTATAAAATCTGAAATGGTTGATGCACTTGTATTAGAAAATTTGAATTGGTTGATGCACTTCACCAATAAATCCCACCAGCAGCCCTAGCTCATCTTCATGTCACCATGACCAAGCTTCCAACCAGCTCAATAGCTCATGCCTAGCTCACCATGACCAAGCTTCCCACCAGAAACAATAGCTCATCCTGAGGTCAGCATGACCAGAAACTTCAAGGGCTTACGAATTGGGCTTCCCTTAAGCAAATTAAGACTTTAAGCACTCAAACTTAAAGTTCAGAATGTCTTCTTTCCATCCATATATCATTTGGGCCAATCCAAGGTCGGAGGAGGAAGTTAAGGCCAAAACAAATTGCTAACTCATTTTGCGCGCTGATAAAATCCATCCTGAGCATGGCTCTGTGTTTGCTAGGTAACAGACTCCATATTTATCCAATGGGGCTGAATTTTGGATATGTTATAGTATACACCCATTGGAACAACGTTCATGAAGAATACTGCCTCATCCGAGCTGTGTAGGTTGCTGAAACAAAGCTTGCAATATGACCTACGGAACTGGACTGGCAGGGGGCTGTAGCCAAAATGAGTTTGTCTTTTAAGCTCTTGATCCATTCATCCAAATTAGGCCTTAACATGCTTGAATTGCATGAATTATGCTCTCTTGCTCTATTTGCCTACAAAACACACAAAGGGAGGCAAATAACTTAGAAATCTAAGAAACTAAGCAAAAGAAGTAAGTAAATAGGGCATGTATATGTATGAAATTACGAGCTTAACAAGTATGCTAAAGTTCTGTTGAAAAAGGCTGGTCTGAGTAATTGTAGGGCTTGTCCTACTCCTTGCAAGCCACATAATCAAGTTTTAATGTCTGAAGGAGAACCACTGCAGGATCCTACATTTTATAGAAGTATTGTTGGTGCCTTGCAATACTTAACTTTCACAAGACCTGACTTATCCTATGCTGTCAATACTGTGTGTCAGTATATGACTGCTCCCACTGAGATACATTTCAACCTGGTCAAAAGAATTTTGAGATACATTCAAGGTACTTTGAATTATGGGATTCAATTTACTCATGGTCCTTGGCAACTACAAGCTTATAGTGATGCTGACTGGGCAGGGGACATAAATACTAGGAGATCAACTACAGGTTTTGTGGTTTTGCTTGGACATAATCCTATCTCGTGGCAGTCTCAGAAGCAAGGGTCTGTATCCAGAAGTTCAACAGAGGCCGAGTATAGGGCATTGGCTAATACAGCTGCAGATTTGGCTTGGATTCGACAGGTTTGGCTAGACTTGAAAGTGTGCTTGCCTCAACCTCCTACCATCTTTTGTGACAATCTATCTACTTTGGCACTTAGTAGTAATCCTGTTTATCATTCACGAATCAAACACTTGGATACAGATTTTCACTTTGTTCGTAAAAGGGTTCAAATGAATGATTTGGTGGTTCAATATGTTCCTACTCAAGAGCAAATTGCAGATGTGTTTACTAAAGGACTGCATAGTCCTATTTTCTTAAGTCACTGTATTAGTATGCGACTTGGAAATCCAGAGCAGGATCCAGAGTTGGATTTGAGGGCGAATGATAACAATATTAGTTAGTTTGTTTGTATTCAGTTAAGCAGTCACGTGTGTGCTCACGTGCTGGCTGTTAGTATTAGCTGTAATTAGTTAGGTTGTTAAGTCTCGATTATAGAGATATATGACACTGTTGACACTCAATTGTATTCTCATTCTGGAAAATCAATATACAGAGCATATCATTTTCTTGAATCTTCTTCTTCCTTCTCAGCTTTCTCAATTCTTAAGCTTCCTCTTCTAAACTGCTAACAAGATCTTCCCTTGAATCGGTAACAGAGCAACCCTGCTCTTTTTGGTTGGAGGAGATTTCCTCACCATCTTCATGTCTGAGGTTGAATGAAAAATTCAGCTGCTTTTACAAGATCGGTCAAGCTTGCAATTCATGTTTTCCACTTTACCTACCAAATTATCTAAGTGGCATACACACGTCACCCCCCACCCTGTACTCCAAGTCAATCCTATACAGACTACAACAATCTCGAAATTCCACAATGCCACAGTTTCAATCTACCTTTTTGTAGAATTTCTCTTCCAACCCATAAAATCAACATGAACAAATAGGTAAATAGGTGGAAATCCAAGAGAACCTAATGAAATTTCGGTGGATATGTCTTTCATAAGCCTCTTAATCCTATTTCCACTGCGCCACCTTTGTCAATTCATTTCAAAGCAGTGTTAAAAAGTTGTGTTTTCATATCAAAGATTTTGGTAATGTTAAAAGCGTATGAAGTCAAGTTCTCTTATCATCAAAGGCAACAATCCAGAACAATAAAAACAGAGAGTATTGGAAAAAGAAAGAAAAAGGCTGTACCTTTTAGTTACATCAATATCCATGTCCATCTCTGTTAGTTTATGAGAGAAGAGGTTTAAGAAGTGTTGGTTTTAATGTTTAGGACAATAACTTGACTATGAATAGAAAACTTTTGAAAGAGTAACAAAGTGATTTTCTTTGAATGGAGGAGAAAAGGTACAAAGCTTAAATACAGGACTTAGTGGGATATAAGACAGCTGGTAGTTTTTCAGCTTTCATATTTGTCAAGGTGACAAGCCTATATACAGGAGATATTTTGGATTCACTGACTTTGCTAAGTCGGTTCGCTCATTCTCCATTATTCTAGATTTTTCCTTATTATTCAAGATATATGTGTACATTAACTTTATAGTAAATTGAGTTTAGACCCTTAAAATTCATTTTTAATCACCTATAACCCTTTCCTTTATTTTTCTATTAAAATACCCATTTTTAAAAAATAAAACCCGATGACTAGGATCCAAGTAAGCAAGTTACCTTATCTAGCTTAAAATCTGATTTTTATTCTATTTTTCAGATTTCAAAACTACCTCTATTTACAAGTTAACGTATTGTGTGGGGGTGTTACTAATGACACACGTTGAATTTGGAAAGATTTTCAAATGGTTGTAATGGATGTAGGAATTAATTTAGAAACTTATTTGAAATTAAATATTAAATTCAACATTAACGTATTAGTAATCTACATGTGATTCACGTATTGGTTTATTTAATAAAAAAATTATGTTGTTTTCCTTTTATGAATTATATTACTAATAATCTATTTTATTATAGTTTTATGAATAATAGTGTACATTCTAATTATGTTGAAAAATATTTTGATAATCTATTTATTGTTTGTTTTATGAAAAACATTTTTTTTAAATGAACCTATTTTTTCTCTAAATAATTTACCTATTTTTTTCTCTAATAATGTACCTAGTAAAACAATTCTCTAATAATGTACCTAGTAAAACAATGTACCTATACAAGCCCTTAATTTTAATAATCTCCTTGTAATCTGCTGCTTCCAGGACCTCCTCCGGCTCAAGAATCTTCTCATTTTCAAATCCAAGGGGGAGTGTTATAATATTATAAGGCAATAGATGGATGCCGACCACACTCATATATGCTTCTAAGTGCTCATCCCATTCTACCTATATAGTAATGTAAAAGCTACCACTATGGTAATATTCTATGTATTCTATATGCCTATAAATAGGCTCCAAAGATGAATAAATGTGATATAAGACTAAGAGAGAATTTCGAGTATCTAAGATCCGTATCATAAGCTCTATCTTCCTTCAATAGTTATATAAGTTTTATCACACTCTGGTTTTTTTTTAATGTGAAGATGCAATGGAAAACTATTGTTGGCCATTAGAGATAGGCATGCGTCAGACTGTGCCTATGGAGCTTCAAAAGGTTGACTTTCTAGGATGGAACTTCCAACTTATTGACCAAGGCAGAAGGGTTATCATATAGTCAGGGCCGGCCCTGACATTTTGGTGGCCCATGGTCAAAAATTAAACGAGGCCCTTAGTATATAATTTTTTTTTATAATTTGCTCATTCCTTTTCCTTTTTCTTTTTATGAATACGGAGCAAAATCCCAGAAAACAACTAAGCTTCTTAAATAGAATAATTTCATTCAACTAACAAAAGAAAAACCAAAAGTAAATGATCCATAAACAACAAAAATCATATTTAGGGTCATAGAGCTTCTAAAATTTCAGCAAAATAAAACAAAAGTTCTTTAAGTGGCTCTTCCATAGGGCTTAATTCTCAAGTGGCTCTTATATCATCAGTTTGGGTTATTATGGCTTTAACACTATTAATATGACTTTCCCATCTTGTTGTTGACAATGGTTTAAGAGTTAATCCATGGACATGATCTTGAAAAAATTTCCACCTCTTTGTAGAACTAGCAAATAGAGTATACAAACGTTGCACAACACCAAAAAATGACACAGCTTTAACACAAGAGTTTGCCATATCACAAACTGTTAAATTAAGAGAATGACAAGCACATGGCATATAAAATGCCCTAGGATTTATTTTTAGAAACCTTGTTTGCACACCATTATTTTTCCCCTTCATGTTAGCTCCATTATCATAACCTTGGCCCCTTACATTATTAATATCAAGTTTAAGACACTTTAATACAGCTTGTAACTCATTAAAAAGCCCACATCCAAATGTATCATCCACTTTCAAGAATTCTAAAAAATACTCTTCTACCTTTATGGGAGCATTTGACACATCTACACATCGAATTATTAATGTCATTTGCTCATGGTTACTTACATCTGGAGTACAATCAAGTATTACAGAAAAATATTTTGCCTCTTTGATTTTTTCAATGATAGCACTTCTAACCTTGGAGCCTAACATACCAATAAACTCATTTTGAATTTTGTGACTAAGATAGTGATAATGAATCTCATTATTTTGAATACGTCTAAAATGCTCTTGCAATACAAAATCAAATTCTGCAATTAATTCAAGCAGCCCCAAAAAGTTACCATTGTTATCTTGGTAAATTTTCTCATTCTCTCCACGAAAAGCTAAATTTCTTTTAGCAAGACATCTCACAACAGAAATTATTCTTGCTAAAACCAATTTCCAATGTTCCTTCTCTTTTTTAATTTGCACTTGTAGCCCTTTATCAATTGTTTCATTCTTTTTCAATCTAATTTGCATGTCAATCCAAGTTCTCATGTTATTGATATGCTCAGTACTAGTTTCATGTTGTTTAAGCCTCTCACTTAAACATTTCCAGTCATTAAGCCCTTCATTTGCCAACAAACTTCTAA